ACCCACGCGTGCAGAGCACATTGGATTAGCAGTCCAACGCCTTAACCACTCGGCCACCTCGTCATATGAAGAATCTTTCTTTCATCATCTATCATACTATGCAATTATTTAATTTAACATATAAATTTCTTTTATTTTTAAATATATTAAATATATTTTTATTTTTTATTGAATACTTTAATTCATTCTAAAAAATTATTTCTATTTCATGTGTTTTATTTATACATTTAATAAATAAATATGTTACGCAATTAAAAGAATAAAAATGTTGCAATCAATTCAAAATTCTCCAATTTTTTAAATTTTGTAATATAATGTTAAAAAAATTACAAATATTATCGTAGAAACATTATCATTTAATGTTTAATAAAATAAATGATGTAAAAATCAATATATATATATATATTATATATTGTATATTATATATAATGTATATAATAACAATATATAAAATAAATATAATTTGAAATGAATATGTAGAATGTATGTCGTTGAGTTATTTTCATTTCTAATTTTCGTTATCTTATCTGCTAAAATATTTATTTGAATGTATAAGCAAAAAATATATCAATTTTGTAAATTATGCACTTTTTTTTAAAATTAAAAGTCAAATATATGATAATATTTAAGCCTCGACAAAACAATTAAATAAGACATTTTTACAACGTTTTGAATTCAAAGAAACATGAAACATATATTTATAATCTTTATTAGGTAATCATTTCTGTACTGTCTTGTCATTGCCTTGTTCGGTATTATTCTAAATGAACGCGATCTATTACTAATCTTATTACTTTTAATTTTATTTAATTCATATATCATAAAGTATGGAAAATGTGATAAATTCATCATTACTGTATACATCAATATACGATGAAGAGATCACGAAAAGTTTTGAAAATAATTTTTCAAGAATTAAAGGTAAATAATAAATTATAAACTATATAATCATTATATTTAGCGTTTCGTAATAAATAGAAGTAAATGTAATAAAATAAAATACGAAATATGTTATTAATTTAAAGAATTATAAAAAGAAAGTATACGAAAATAAAAATATTTTTAATTAACACTTATGTTTTAGAAGAATGTTATCTAGATCATGCAGGGGCAACATTATATTCTGATACACAAATAAAAAATGTTGCTTCTGATTTATATAATTCACTTTATGCTAATCCACATTCTATTGGAACTGCAAGTAATGTGACCCAAGATATTATAGAGCATATGAGATATCAGTAAGACATGAATAAACAAAAAATTAATAATATCATTAATTAAACAAAATTAGAATTTTTTTTTTTTTTTTATAGAATTCTAGATCATTTTCACACATCTGCCGATGAATATAGTATTATTTTCACATCAGGTGCAACTGCATCCTTAAAGATAATAGCTGATACATTCTTATTTAATAAAGATGAAAGAAATGTTTCCAATCCAGGCCATTTTGTTTACACACAAGATAATCATACTTCAGTTCTTGGTATGAGAGAAATTGTTTGTAAAAAAGGAGCAAAAATAACATGTTTAAATCATAATAATGTTTTTGAAGTTTTCAATTCTTCTTCAAAATCTATTAGTTCCCATTCACAACAGAACAATTTATTCAAAACTAATTCACTCTTTGTTTATTCTGCCCAATGTAATTTTTCTGGATTAAAATATCCTTTAACATGGATTAAAGATGTACATAATGGAGTTTTATCTAATGTAATTTCTAGTACATCTACAAAGTGGTATGTCTTACTTGATGCTGCTGCTTTTGCATCAACAAATGAGTTAAATTTATCTATTTTTAAACCAGATTTTGTTTGTTTATCTTTTTATAAAATGTTTGGATATCCTACTGGAATTGGTGCATTATTAGTAAGAAATGTTAGTGCAAATGCACTTCAAAAAATTTATTATGGAGGTGGTACTGTAAATGTATCTTTAAGCTCTGAATTATTTCATATAAAACGACAAAATCTTCATCAAAGGTAGAAATTAAAAACTATTTTAAATTAAATTAAATTCTTTATTAATATTTACTCTCTTACAGATTTGAAGATGGTACTATACCATTTCTTTCTATAATATCTTTAAAATATGGTTTTGACATATTATCATTCATCACAATGGAAAAGATTTCCAAACATGTATTTTCTCTTGCAAAATTTTTATATACATCTTTACTAATGCTTCACCATAGCAATGGAAGACCAGTTGCAAAATTATATTCTGATACAGTTTATGATAATCATGATATGCAAGGAGGTATTGTTGCTTTTAATCTTATACGATCTAATGGTGAATATATAGGATATATGGAAGTTTTAAATATGGCAGCATTATTTAAAATACATTTAAGAACTGGTTGCTTTTGTAATCCTGGTGCATGTCAAAGACATTTAGCACTATCAAATAAAGAAATTCTTCAGAATTATGAAGCTGGTTATGTTTGTGGAGGTTCTACAGATTTAATAGATGGTAAACCAACAGGTGCTATAAGAGTATCATTTGGATATATGTCAACAATTAAAGATGTTCAAACATTATTAGTTATGATTAAAGAATGTTTTGTTGATGGATCACCAATAAATAAAATTCCAGATTGGTGGTTAGATTATAAAACATTTTTATATAGAAAATATAATCCATATGATGAAAAAATAAAAGATACAACAAAATATGTGATACATAATAATGCAACTGAAATTAGTAATAACTTACAAGATAGAAAAAAAGAAACATTAACACATATTAATGATAATCCAATTTTTAAACTAATAACAAACACTAGTATAATTAAAAAAGAATGTACTTTAGAACAATTATATATATATCCAATAAAATCATGTGCTGCTTATAAGATAACAAATTCTTGGAATTTAAATTCAAAAGGTTTAGAATATGATAGAGAATGGATGATTATTACATCTTCTGGTACTTGTTTAACACAAAAACAACATATTAATCTTTGTTTGTTAAAACCAATTATATTTAAAGAAAAAGGAATTATGCAATTACATTATCCAGGTAAAAATTTATTTTATATATATATATATATATATATATATATATTGTAAATTTAATATTTCAAAAATATTTTAGGAATGCCTATTATGGATATTCCTTTAGATAATTCCAAAAATGAAACTATATGCCAAAGTAGAGTATGTGGACATAAAGTACAAGGTACTGATTGTGGTTCAGATGTTTCTAATTGGATAAGTTTAGCATTAGGACTTCCAAATTTGAGACTTATAAAACAAAATAATAATGATAATAAAGAAAAGGGTATGCTTTATATTATACTATTAATTACTACTATTAATTAAAAATAAAATTAAAATTTTATTTTATCATATAAATATATTTTTCTTTTACAGCTAATATTAAATCTGAATTATCGTTTTCTAGTCAAGCTCAATTTTTATTAATAAACAAAGCAAGTGTATTATGGCTTAGTGATAAAGTACGTGATAAAGAAGTGAAAAAAGACACAATTATACATAGATTTAGAGGAAATATAATAATAAGTGGTTGTGAAGCTTTTGAGGAAACACAATGGAAACATATTTATATTGGAAAAAATAGTTTTATAGTATGTTTTGAAAAAAGAATAAAAATAAAAATAATCTGTAATTAACTTTTTGATTATTAATGATTTTTTTTTTAGATAATAGGACCATGCACTAGATGTCAAATGATTTGTATTGATCAAACCACTGGTGTAAAAACAGTAGAACCACTACGTACACTTACAGAACAATTTCACGGAAAAATGAAATTTGGTATTTATTTAAGTAAAGAAAATAAAGAAAATGAAATTATTACTGTTGGAGATACCGTTTATATTTCATAATTGAATAATTAATATCATTGTTATTGAAATATAAATGAAAATATCTTTTAGATTATTTTTTAAGGTTATGAATAATATAACTGCAATTATATTTATTAAAAAAAAAATAAGTATAATAAATTTTAATTCGAATTATAATTTATTAAAAAAGATTTAATGTTAATTATTAATTATTATATTGGGTTTTTATATAAAATATAAACTATTATTATTCTTAAGATATAGATATATGCACCATAGTTACCAACTATTTCTATGGAAATATTCATTTTATAATTTACTTTTTATATTTAAAAAAAAATCTTTTTATACTATATATGCACTTAATATGTAAAAAATTGTAGTCTTATAAATTTCAGTATAAAAAATTTAAATATAAAAATAAAAAAATCAATGTATTTTTTTATATTTATATTATTTAATAAGTTGTAAAAATGTAAATCAATTGCAAATGTCAAATATTACAATTATTTAATTTCTCATTTCTCTAAATAATCTATATCTATAAATATAATCTAAAATTAGATTATATTTTTTCGAATTTCCTTTGTTAATTTGGTACTACTGTAATTATCAGCAATTTCCGTGGCGTTATTCTATACACATACTATCTTACATCATTGTGAACAAGGTTCAGTATAGTTCATGAATTTTGAGTAAGGTGTTGTTTCTACGTGTTTCTTCTGTTTATCTTTGATCATAAAATATTTAAATTTATTAGAATAAATGACGTTACACGTTGAATATTATATCGTGAAACGCGCGAATGTTTTGAAAATTGTACACGTAGGCAACAGGTGTCTAATGCCGCACATGTTTCTTTTTGACTGTAGCGATCATTTCTCATTTTAAAATTGAAAGATTAAGCGTAATCGCATACAAGTTATATTTTTTGGATTTTTAGTCATGCTAAAAACAGTTCATAGAATTTTATATCAAAGTAGCCATTTTAACAAAGTTTTACGATAAAAGTGTGCATAATTAGTTATTAATATATCAAAATGGAATATGATTATCTTATTAAATTTTTGGCTCTTGGAAACTCTGGAGTCGGCAAAACTAGTTTTTTATATCAATATACTGATGGCACGTTCGAATCTCGTTTTATATCCACCGTTGGTATTGATTTTAAAGAAAAACGTGTGGTAAGAAATTACTCTCATTAAATATGTTATTGCTTATATTATTTTATTTATTATTATAAATACAAATTATTTTATTTTATATAAATTTTATTTATTTAAAATATATTGAAAACATATTTATATAAATAAAATATAAATATATAATATAATAATTGTTTTTTACACACATATGTTATCACTTATAAATTAAATTCATTAATTATTACAGATATACCAGACGGCAAATGGTAGAACTCAACGTGTGCATTTGCAATTGTGGGATACAGCTGGTCAAGAGCGGTAACATTTATTATAATAATATATTATATAATATATTAGAGACTATTTTATAATAATGCATATCAAAAAAGGCTTTTAGTGTTTTTTTAACAATATTTTAGTAAAAAAAATTAAATTTATTAATATAAATTAAAAAAAAAAAGATTTCATTGCAAGCAATTAATATTTTATAATAGAGCAATGTTAGATTTCATAGCAAGTGCTGCAATGCTACTAATGTTCAGGTTCAGAAGTCTAACTACAGCCTTTTACCGGGATTCTATGGGTTTCCTTCTAATTTTTGATCTGACCAATGAGTTGTCCTTTCTTGAAGTAAGAAATTGGCTGGAGCAGCTTAGGGTATATACATTATTTATTAACATTATTATCATAAACATTGTACAATGAATGATGATTTGAGTTAATCTATTTATTGTAATTCTATTAAAAATACTAATATTTTGATTTTGATATATTGCATGATATAAATTAAAATTGTTTAGAAATCTTGGATCTTGAAATAAAAAAAATTTAATCAATTGTGCCTGAAAATTTGAAGCATAAAATGTGCTTTATTTTGTTTGCATGCTAAAAATAATTGTAGACTAGTATTAATTTAATAGTAGATATTAAATCTTTTAAATAAAAAACTTTTTATTTTATGCATACTTACATAAAAAAAAACTCAAACTATCGTTCGATCGAAAGATCGTAAAATTTATTAATATACAAGTATGTACAAAATTATTGAATGAAAATTAAAAAAGATTTGCATCATGTTTTTATTGAAATAATCGTTAATATATGATGATTTTTCAATTGATTGATTATTCTGATGAATAATATAAAAAATTCATATGTTTTTATTAGTATTAAAAACATTTTAAAAATAAAGCATTATATGTAGTATATTAATATATATTGTTTTAATTGAAATAATAATTAAAAAAAAAATTTTAAACAAAGTTTTCTTTTCATATATTTTATTATAAAAAAGAAAATGAATTAGAATTGTATCAGTTTTAATTCTTAAGCTGTTTACTATCTACTACTTCATTATGGTATTATTTCCGTTTCTTATTAAATATTCTTTTGTTTGATCGTTGATTCATATCTGTATACGTGTAGACTCACGCATATTGCGAAGATCCAGACATAATTCTCTGTGGAAACAAGTCCGACCTCGAAGATAAACGAGTTGTTAGTGAACATAAGGCACGGGAATTAGCAGAGAAACATGGGTAAATAACATAGTACATGGTATTACTTATTATCTTCCTCATCAATTATGCGATTAATTATTACATCCAGCATTACTGTAATCATATTTTTATTTCAAATTATAAATGTCTATATTTTTATAACAATTTCTCAAGCAAACTTATTTATTATATTATTTATCAATTATTTTGTTTCATATATTATTTTGTTTTATTTTGTTTCTATTGTCAATATAATTGTAAAATAAATTAAATCAATTTCCACTATTTACACTTCAAATCTTTAAAAGATATAAGTTTATTGAAACATCCTATTTAAGTATTTTTTTTTTTTTTTTTTTTTTTTGAAGAAAATACTGCCAAAAGTATAAATTATAAAGATCAAGAAGAACAGGAAGATTAAAAATTTCAATGAATTATGCTTTTCAGCTTGGTCTATCTGGAAACAAGTGCAGCCACGGGTCAGAATGTAGCACGTGCCGTGGAGATACTTCTGGACCGGGTGATGCGCAGGATGGAGACTACTGTGGATAAATCACTGCTACCTCACCAGAAAGTGTTACGATGCAACGAGCGTGACACACCGCCTCCAAGTACTTCCTGCTACTGCTGACACTGTTCTTACGCATAGCGTAACTGAATAATTTGCTTCGTAAAATTTATACTTTTTATTTAACTAACATTGTGGACTGACTGACTTGTATTTGAATATATCTTATCTTTAAATATTTCGAAATATATTATTTGCATATGCATATGCATGGGAAAATATCGAAGATGTATAAAATTTCAAAGCACTAACAATGATTTAAAATTGTATACCTTTATACATGTTGTTTCCTGCATTCACGCGCACACTGTTGTCTTCCATTAATAGCTTCCACTAGTACAAAATTATGTCTCGTTGCAAATCGTTGAACGTATCTTCTTCCCGATAACGTGATCTATCTGTTACTCTCGTACGCACAACGTGTTCAATATATCTTGTTTGTTTTCTCTGTTTATTCGCCAAAAATTGTGATATGATAATGTTGCGATTAAGTAAGGTGAAACGATCAATTTTCGATCTATATATATATATATATATGTATATGTATTTTTGATGCTGTTATTGTGCCCATACCAAAGTTGTACATCTAGTCGTTAAGAAATTATGCTGAAAATACAATCAAAGTGTTATCTGATATACTGTTTGTACTGTCGTGGAATGCTGATGAATGTCTCTGATCTTATCAAGTTTTTAAACAAAATGTATTTTACGAAAATTAAATGTTTGTTCTTAGCTATTAAGAGAAAATATTAAAAAATGTTAATCATTATCTATCCAAATCGAGAAAATTATATGTTGTTTCTTTCAATTTTTATGACTATGAATTACGATTGATCAAGAAGTGTTTAAATATATAAATATTTATTGAATATTTATATAAAAATATAAAGTGGGATGATGATTTTCTGATTTTTTTGAATTATATGAATCATCATAAAAGAAATGATGCAAGATTAAAATATTATAGGAATATTAAAAGAAAATTGATCTTTTGAAACTTTAAAAATGCGTTTTTGGAAAAAGATGTATTTGTAATATTTCTCTTAATGTAACAGATTGTTTAAAATAGAGATATTGTAAATTGTTGCTCTATCCTATATGTTGTATCACATCGATATAATAAAAGAAGATAGCACGAATTACATCTCTCTGTTTCGAAAAAATTCTGTTATTCATTTTCGGTTTGCTACGAATCTTGATAGCAACGGAAAATGAAAATGCACGATGATGAATTACTCTAATAAATTTTTGATCTAACTTTTTCTCGCGTACGAAGAGAATCTTGAATCTCGAATTTTGACGTATTTATTGGATTTCGAATGAATTCGTGTGGATCTTGATGTGTTCAAATTCCGACTAGATACTATTAAGCCGATGAAAATGTAAAATTGCATAATGATATTGGAGTTTGCGATTGTGTGTTTTCGACATTGTTTACTGTAAAATTGTTCGACTCGTTTTTATCTGTTGAACAATTCAAATCTAAATCAGGCAACGCAAAGAGCGTGCTCTATCGTGTATACGTGCTTATCTATCTATTTCATAAAAATTCTCTCTTGAGAAAATAGAAAATAGAATGGAAATTTCCAAGAATATTCTCGCAGGGTAAATAAGCCATCTGTAATTCTGCTTAAACGAAGTTTCTCTCCGTTTATCTGCAAATCCTCAACTGGTAAGACCATAAAGTAGCGCATTTATGGATAAGCCGAAGCTAAAAGCAACTGCCTCGCCAAAAACTCGACAACAGTTTAAACTCTAGGAGAACACAAAGTTCCAAGCAGATTTCCGATACAATCAATCAAAGGTGACGCTCTGAGACCTGTAATATAGGTCGTTCTTCGAACTTTATCTTACCAGTTGAAAGCTATGAGAAACTTCTTTGCGGCGAAGTTGGAAACAGGAAAAAAAAAAGAGAGAAAGAAAAAAAATTTTACCTCCATGAAGGGATCACCGACAGGTGTTCTCCGCATAGTACACCTTTCGGGACTTGATATCAAATGCAACAGATCGAGAAGGGAGATCGGTTAGAAAATTATTTCGAGTATCAGCCGGTGAAACTTCGTTTCATCAATAATAGGAAGAAAATGCGCGCAACTTTTCACTTTGAAAACTTTCCCGTGGAAACTTTCTTTATGGAAGTTCGATCGAAGTTTCTGACCGGGTTGAGCAGATCATTAGCTGACTATTTATACACAACGCTGTTATTGTTTACGGGTACGGATGGTTTTTAAGCTCGTCCATCGAGCGAAATGCATTTTTATGAGCGCAAGTTCGAACACGCCGCGCTTTTACGAGGATCCGCGCAATTGTTTCACGATCGAACGAACTTTCGACTCCTCATCGAGAGAACGTTTCCAATGAGATACTATACATTTCTACGCACTTGTTCGGGATAAACTTATCGGAATCAATAAAAATGCACAAGTTGTAAAAACAAACGTAAATGGTACATCGAGTTTTCTTCCCCTGGATAAACGATTTTTCATGGTTGTATTATTTTATTTTATTTTATCGCACGAATATATCGTTTTGATTTTATTGCTTCGAATTTTCCTTTTTTTTTTTTTAACAACTAACCACTGAACCGATTTAAAAAACACGATAAATCTGTGCAATGATATACCAGATTACTCGAATTTATTTATAATCCATTTTTCGATCTTGTTCACAGTTTCGCATAATTGGAATCCCAATTAAACCCGTTAAATCAAAATATTCTATATCAAAAGCTGTATGTACATAGTAATATACGTTACAAAAATAAAATCAGTGTTAAATATGATACATTATATACACCAACACATTAATTTGTATTCATACGTGATACTTTTTCCAATCAATTTCCAATTGTATGTATACGTTATAAATATATTAAATAAATTTTTTGTCTTCGAATTTTAACTTCAACTGTACCTATAGTATATCTATACATTCATAAAAATATATCCTTACGAACCACATCTCTCCCATAGATATATTTTCAATTTCTTAATTATTCCTATCGAATAATTTATCTATCCTTTTAATTCTATTCGATTCCACAGAATATGTACGTATTAAACAAAAGAATTATGATCTCTTCGTTTTGCTGAATAGGAAGAAATACATTTATTCAAGCTTCCCTTTGAAATTTTCATCGATCGTTCGAATGATTAGGTATCTGTAGCAGCGGCGTCTGTGTCGACAACGTGCCGTTGATGTCGATAACGACCACTTTGAGACTGCCATTTAGGCCTTGTCTATACCTAATTATTACGTAGACTCTCGAGTTCATTTGATGGCGGATGGACAAAGCAATGGAACCTGTTCAAAGCGCGCAGGACTACCAAAAGGACGCTATTTATCGAACCATGCTTGTTCTCCGATCAGCAGACATAAATGTCTCCTTCCATCAGCCTCTCTGAAATCTTTCTTTCTTCCCTTTTTATTCCTTCATTCGCAATACTCTCGAAATTTCTCTCTCTCTTTTAAGGTGTCAAATTTCCACGATATGGAATTGTCAGAAACTTTTTAATCCAAAATTTTATCGTTGCTAAGGATTGACCTATAATTTAATTTTTAAATAAAAGTTTTGAACTTTAAGCGAGAATTACATAATTATTATCGACCACGTTCCTTCTATATTTTTTTTTCTTCTACGTCCTTAATGCTTCATAAATCCGTGGATATTAATCAGTGGTATTCCAGTTTCAGGATGGCTGCTCCATAAACGGAACCAAGTTTCCCACCTCCGTCAGTTGCAAATAAACCAGGAAGCCGATGGGTGCTATCAAAAGCAAGACCAGCCAAGAAAGCAGAAGTTGCAGTCTGCTCCCAGTTTATGTATGGGCGTAGACATTACGTCGGGGAAACTTACGGGCGTGTAAGCGAGTCGAAGATGTGTGGTGCCAGGTTTTCGATCGCGGAACTGTCTGAAAATTAAATTACTTGGAACTTGGGGATGAAGTTTCGGTTATCGATTTCGGACACTGATCACTCGAATTAACGATCGAATCTTGGTAAGCTGCAACTTTCACGTGTATTTCATCTTAGCGAAACAGAGCTTCCGGTTACGGTTATGCAACCGTAGGATCCTGCTCACGTGGCAGATCTCTACGTGGAGCTTCTAAGAACTGATCGAGGAATACTTTTTAGCAAGATATTGATCTGATAGATAAAATGAAATTGCACCAGGATCATTCAACCGGAGGTTGAAAGTCGTTTCTGGATCGATGCTGATGTTGGCTGATATATTTCTTGAACGATAGTGTATTAAGAGAAAGAATTTCGAAGAAGAATTTCTACGAGAAAGGGGAGGAACGAATAAAATGGATCGTCGAATTGAATTTTACGGAATTGTTAATTCCTTTTTGAACTTTTTTTACAACATTTTCGAAAAGATTAATATTTGATTTCTATTTGAAAATAAATTCAACGATGTATTTTTCTTTCCTGTTGGTTAACTTGTCCAACTTGTTGAGATCGATATTTTTCTTGCCACGTTCTGTTGTTCTGTTACTTGGAAGATGCATCGCTTGGAAGAAAGAGTATCGGTACTGTCGGAAACTCTTAGCTCTTCTGTCGTTCTACAATCCTAGTAACATTGGATCGAAAGCATCAATATGTTATGATAAATTAATAATAAAATTATACCCTTTCATTGCTCCTCTTGTCTAACACTTCTATTTTCCTTCTGTATCCCTATTAATATCATACGAAGTGCTAAGATGTTATATTAAAAAATAAACTCTGTTCGATATTGTCGTTCTATCTTCTTATTAATGTAGAGACAAAAGTAATGGAAGTGTATAAGTATAGATATAGTGGTCTTGAATCTTCTCCTCGCGTCTCTATTTAGTTCCTCTATCAGCATTCTAGACTCCTGTTACAGAAAGTCGTTTTTCTTTAAGAATATTTCATACTCGACTCGAGAAAATGTTGAACAATTAATTCTTAATTGAAAGGATTGATTTAAATGAGTACGTAATAATAACATAATTATGCAATAAATATTTACATATTAATCAATAAGATAAGTTATTTGTTGCACGTATATAAATTAAATTTAATTGTTCTTCTAATATTTTTTGTTTAATTAATTTCTTATTAATTTCGAGTCGACTGTATCTCTATCTTCTGATAAGGTATATAGATAATTATTTTAAACGATAAGATAATTGAATTGGTAATTCACAAATATTTTTTACATTCCACAGAAAAAGGAGAATATAAAAAACCGTCCCAATTCTTGAAATAATAGCAATGCAATCGAGGAAATCGCCTTTTTATTTCCTGCCTACGGAAAAACTAACTAAATTTCTCGTTCGAAATGGACCAATTGACAAATAGCTCGTATCGAGGTGGCCCGGAAATTGCTGCGTGCACGAGAAGCTTGAAAAATTAGACATTGCTCTCGCCGGAAGTTGTTGCTCGACAGCCAATCGTCGCTACTTACATCCGATGTTCCCGCTTCTTTTCGATCGAACTTGGGGACGTTAAGGGTGAAAATTGACATTGCCTTGACGATGCTAAAACACGTTTTCCAAATTTCACGGGAAATTCCTCTCTTCCATCCTTTAACGAACTTTCAATTATTCAATAAATCTTACTCTTAAAAAACATTCAAAATACGAGATATTTTACATCACATCTGATCAGTATTAACACATAACATTATCGTTAACTTTCTAGTTTAAATTCTTGTTTGCTTCATCTTTTCAATTTCATTCT